CTGGGGGCCTGCTGTGGGGCTGGGACCCTTCCCTCCTCCCTCCTCCGGGAAAACTCCGCCGCTGAGATTCCCTTCCCGGTTTCCACTGCGGCACCGCGTCTCTGCGATTCAGCCCCGACCCGCCCGCGTCTCCCCCCTCCTCCCGCTCTCGGTGCTGCTTTAGCTCCCTGGTTGTGGGGCTTCTGTTCAGCCAGATCTCAGGAGGCTCTGAGTGACGGTGGTTCTGTATTTTAGTTGTAATTTTGATGTCGTTGCGGGAGGCGCGGGTACAGCTGTGACCTATGTGCCATCTTGGTTTTCTCCCCAACAGTAGCTTTTAAAACATATTTTCCAAGGAGCATCAGAATCTTATGTTTCTAGATTTTTCCCCCCAAGGTGCTGCTGTAGCATGGGACTAAGACATTTATAAATTCATAAAGTTGAAGTGTGTGTGTTGTTGTTGTTTTTATCACTGAAAATGCCTGTTCACCTGGAGAGAGCATTACTTTTTAAAACAAAATATATAGTTGTATATGGTTACCAGAATGAAAGCATTTAAAGAAAAAGGAGGACTCTGATACCCCATTCTGAAAGGGGAAAAATGGGTTCAATAAGGACCAAAGGTCCGACAGCACAGAAGACTGTTCGCTGTATTTGATCTGAACAACGGGGTTACTGGTGAGAAAGGTTTAAAGTCGGTCTTACTGTACAGGGTGGAAAAAGTAGGTTTACAGTTGTGAGGCCCGGAAACAGAGTTTGTTTTTGTATTATTATTTATTAATTATTGTATTATTTTCCATAGGAACAACTGTAAACCTGCTTTTGCCCCAAGCTGTAGATCAAAACAGACAAGAGAATAAACCTCCTGTGCTGTTAATTTTGTTTATGAGAAAAAGCACAGCCTTTCTGAAAAGAAAGAATAGTTTAGCCCGGCCGGCCGTGGCTCAGTGGTTGAGCGTCGACCTGGGATCCAGGCAATCGGGGTTCGATTCCCGGTCAGGGCACATGCCCGGGTTGTGGGCTTGATCAATGACTCTCTCATCATTGATGCTTCTGTCTCTCTCTCTCCCTCTCCTTTCCTCTCTCTGGAATCAATAAAGATATATTTAAATTAAAAAAAAAAAGAATACTTTAAAACAATTGAGGAGAGGTAACAATTAGCTACAACTTTATTATAAATGGGTAATAATTATACATTGTAATATATAATAATTACATTATAAGTAATATGATTATGGCTATAATTATGTTAATGTCACCAGTAATTATTAACGTAACTTATTAATTACAAATACATGTTTGGAAGACAGTGCTATCCAGGTTGCAGAAAACGATGATGAATAGCAAGATTCCTTAAAGTGTCATAGCGCTGGTAGCTTTGTGGCATAAAGCAAACAAAGACATCACACATACTTGGACAGCGTGTGGAATTTCTGACTAGTTATTACACATTTGCTCCAGAGGGCAGTGGAGCTGCCTTCCCCTACTTTGGTTGCTGGGGATGTACATGTGTGCATGTGTGAGGGGACATAGGAAATTAGAGAACCAAGCACGTTTCACCAGCTGAGCACTGCTCCCCTGGTCCGAGCCTGGATTGCTCACCTGGATCACTGCAGTAGCCTCCTACCTGTTCTCCTTCCCTTATAGACTATTCTCAAGGCTGGATCAGAGTGCTCCTTTGAGAATTATTGGAAAAGTAATTGAAAAAAACACCACATGTAGTAGACCTAATAGACACAGAGATGGAAAATAGGAGAGAAAAGACAAGAAAATTAGAAGAACTGTCCAAGACTCAAAAATTTGACTAACAGGAGTTTCCAGAAAGAGAAAACAGAAAGCAGCAGTAAATTACAACAGAAATAATATAGGAAAATGCCCTAGGACTGAAAGACATGAGTCTTCAGACTGAAAGGACCCTACTAAAGGCCTAGGGCAAGGCAGTCATTGTGAAGTGGGTCCCATGCAAAGGGTCAGCAGGTGGCATGGCTCTGGCATTCTCAAAAGAGATATAGTAAGCTAGAAGAAAATTAAGACGTCCTCTCAGAAACAAGAAGGCTACTTTCAACCTAGGATTCTCTGCTCAAACAATCAATCAAGTATAAGGGAGCATTAAAAACACTTTTTTCAGGCATGCATCATTTCCAAAATCTCCTCTCTTTCCCATGTGGTCCATTTACTTAAAGGGGTAAACAAGAATTAGGAGTAAAGGGATACAGAGGGCAGGGAGTCTAACTCAGGAGGGAGACCAAGGGAATTCATGACATCAGGGACAAACTGAAGTCCCAGGATAACAGCTCTAGCAATGCAGAGAGCAGTGTATACTGTGTATTATCCATTTTATTTTTTTAATTATTTTTTAAAGTTGACGAACATCTGAAAATAGCCTTCACACGCTATTTAGGCATGAAGATTATAATCATCATTCCTCACCTGTGTGTACTTTTTTACAGCTTACAAAGGTCCGTATGGGACAACAACACAGGGCTGTGGTAACAATATATGTAAAATCCCTAGCAGTGTGGTAGCTATACACAGTCTCTTTCAAGCATTTTATTTTTGTCTTAAAGCAACCTATGAGATAGGTCAGTCCTCCTTCTCATTTCACACAGAAGGTAGCTAAGGCTCAGAGTGTCTGCACAGACTCCTCCAAGTTCATGCAGCTAGTAAGTGGCAGAACAAGCAGAGAGGAGCCTTCTGCTTTCGAATTTCCCACGAGTGAAATGGAACAAATAATCAAGCCAGCTGTTAACAGGACTACGGTGAAATGCCATCAATAGTGTAAAACAGACGTGGTAGAAACTGATGTCGAGGTAAATAAATACAACAATACTAACGCTCAGATAGTTACCTGTTGGTAAACTGACCAGCATTCCCACCAATAATGTTACCAGCGTTCCGAGGGTGCTGAAGTACAGGTACGACAGCGAATACCAGTTATCCATCAGTGGGGTCCTAAGGGAGAGCAAAGTGTAATGTAAGAGTTCACGGAGTGCTACCAGCAGCTAAGAGTGTCAATAATCCTCGTGGCAAAGTCAAAAGATAATATTTAATAGTGATTTTAATGTCATAATCTCCTGTCCCAATTTTATCTTATTGGATCAGGAATTAAAAGTGTGACTTAGCCTTGACCTTACACGAAAATAAAGACTAAATGATTCATTCAACTCTGATGGATGTCCCAGGCACTGTTCTTGTCATTGGAGAGGCTGTCATTAAAACGGTAGATAAGGTTCCTGCCAACATAAAGCCTACGTTCTAATGGGGCGAGAAATACAAGAGACAAGTCAACTAATTAATAAATATAATAATTTCCACTGATGGAAAGTGCTGTATGGGAAAGAAAACAAGGTAATACGCCATTAGCAGGGTGGAAAGAGGGAACTACACTACAGCCAGAAGCCTTACCAATAACATAAACGGTCAATGGACTCATATTTTGTACATTACATGTATTATGTATTGTATTCTTACAATAAAGTAAGCTAGAGAAAGGAAAATCATAAGGAGGAGAAAATACATTTACAGTACTGTATGTATTTACTGGGGGGGGGAAATCTGTGTATAAGTGAATCTGCACAGTTCAACCTTGTGTTATTCAAGGGTCAGCTGTATACCACTAAGGAAAACCCTGCCCTCACGTCCTCTATACAATAAAACACCCATCTACCAACAGGTCTACATCGTTGCATTAAATCAGACGACGTCAGTATCCAGAAGCTCAAAAGTGTTCTGCGTGCTGAAAACTAAAGCAGAAAGAGCTCAGGTGCATCTCATTGCTAGTGCTCTAAAGATCTGGACTCTTGAAAACTGAACAAATAGCAACTTCCAACGTACTTAGATAATTGTAGCTTTTAGTCACTAAAGGCTATACTTCAAAGGCTATATAAACAATGTGTGTGTTTTTTCATAATTGGGCTTTTCATTTTAAAAGATTTTCAGTTGACAAAGACAATTTTTCATTCAACTAGAGCTGGCAGCATTTACCTAGAAGGGAATTTTGTTGTTGTTGCTATTTAGTGCTCCGAATCTGTAGGTGAGGCAGAAGTTTCTATAGAAACCTAGAAAACATGGCTTTTTTTTTTTTTTTTGCTATTTCTGAACAAAATATTATAGGCAGAAAGCCACATGAGCTCTGCTCATTTCAGAAATATGCAAAAAATCGCAGTGTTGCAGGCAAGACAAAAAGCAACTAGGATTCTGTACCTGTCACATATATTAGTTTAAATTATGACATCGTAAAGCTTAATTCGATACCTTTCAACATTGTGTACTTGAGCGGTACTGGTAGAAAATGGCGCTGTGGTTGTCACCCATCCGGTCCCATTCTGTGTGCTGTTACAGCCGTAGGTTTCGAGGCTGAGCGGCATGGTCCTCTCAGGAAGTGGGGGGTAGAGCTGAGCCCCAATCCCCACCCAGAAAGAAGCGGCAAACCCGGCCATCAGGCCGGTCAGTGCTCCCTGCAAAGCAAGAGTGTTTTTTAAGAGAAAAGCAATACCGTTTGCTTTGAGATGGCAACTAACATTAGAAGGTTAAGCTCAACATGGTCTAAGCCGCATTCACCAGCTTCCCCCTAAAACTGTTGCCCCTCACAAGGTGCCTCCCTCTTGCCAGGGCAGCACGGGCCCGGCCCCTCGGCCCAGGACGATGCACCCCGCTCCCTTTCTGCATGGCCCTGCCTAGCCCGCCAAGCCCGGCCCATTTTTCTTTTCTTTTCTTATGCCTCATGCTTGCATTTCTTCCACTCTGCACCCACGCCCGGCCCTCTGCTCCGGCCTTCCTGTCTCTTCACACCCAGACAACTACAACGGGACCACAGCTGGCTCTCAGCCAGCTCCAGCTGTATTTGCTCTGTGACAGATGGCATGCCATGCGAGCCACACACTGTGAAGAAGCAAGCGCGCGCAGAGCTGGCTCCGGGCCTGACACCGGGTGCAGCCACAGGGTCATCGGGGGCGAACAGCAAGCATTCTGCACCAGTGACCGCGCCGGTGCATACAGCCCCGCCAGACCTTTCTAGAGACAAATGGAGATGTCCCCTCTGAAGACATTGGCTTTCCCAGTCTGTGGAAGACTGGGGTTCCCTGCCCCTGCTTGTCACCAGGAATCCAGATGTTCTGCCAGCCCTTCCACGACTTAAGCCCTAGTTCCGAATGGTGGAGACAGAAGCAAACCTGGAGCTGGGAAGCTCCTCCTTCTGTGGTGCAATTTCCACCCTCGTTTAAGAATAGTGATCAGACCCTGGCCGGCGTGGCTCAGCGGCTGAGCATCGACCTAGGACCCAGGAGATCGCAGTTCGATTCCTGGTCAGGGCACATGCCCGGGTCTCGGGCTCGATCCCTGGCAGGGGGCGTGCAGGAGGCAGCTGATCACTGACTCATCACTGATGTTTCCATCTCTCTCTCTCCCTCTCCCTTCCTCTCTCTGAAATCAGTAAAGACGTATTAAAAAAAGAAAAAAGAATAGTGATCAGAGAGGGCAGCCTGTGCATAGGACAGGGGAGAATATCTGAAGTAAGGGGGCCCCGTAAGTCACAGTCACAGGGTAGGAACACAGCAGCAGCGTGTCGGGAGAGGGAGCAGTCTGCTGACCACATCCGAGGGTTTCTGTTGGGACCAGGCGTGCGAGCCCTTTCATTAAGCTGGGAACCCTGGAAAGCAGAATTCGGTTTCTTTATTTTTGATGCCCCGACATTTACCGCAGTGTTGGACATATTGTAGGCACACAATAAATACTCTTTTAACAACTTGAAGTTGGAACGGGAGGGTGGCCGGGTGCTAACAGCCAGGCTTGCTCCCTCCCAGCATCGATGGGACTTGCCAAGGGTACACAGCATAACAAAACCCACGTGGGCAGAAAGCGCCAGCGCGCTCTAGGCCCAGGACAGTTCCAAGGCCATAAATATTCACGGCACAAATGAATAAATAAGTGAATGAGTGAGAGGAGGGAAAGGAGAGGAACGGAGGGAGGAAGAGTAAAGGAAGGAGAGAAGGGGGAAGAGGGAGGGAAGGCGGGCGCCCCCTCCACGGTGCGGGTAGGTATTTGGCTGGTGAAAATGTGGATCTAGTACAGGCAAGGTACCTGCCCCTTTTTATAAAAAATACTAGTATCTTATTTCTCTGAAAAAGAACATGTTGGATCTAGCCACGTCCAGCTTTCCTGGAGGAAGAGATTCATGGTGGAAATGTCAAAACCCAAAAAGCAGCCTTTTCAAAGTGTTTCAAACACTTGGCAAATCACTGCGCCTTTCATGACGCAGAGTCTACTCAGAGCTTTAACCTTCTGAGGTAGACACCAACCATTCCTTTTCATTATAATTAATTTCTACCAAACTAGCTTTTCATATGGTACTTCACTGAGAATAATTCATAATAGTGACAGTAAAGCTCTTATTAGTATCTCCCTTACTAATTCCTAACGCATTATGAGGAACACTGAGTTCTAAATGTAAAGTCATAGTTCTATGGTTGCTCTCAATCTTTTGGAAACAACCACGGACATGATCAGTTTTTCCTGAACTTCATCTCATGACGAGACTGAACCAATGGACTTTTACCTGGCTTTCAGATAAATAATTTCAATTTCACTTATTACAAACAAAATTTAGTTCTTCAAAGCACAGAAATGTAGATGTAGAAGAGCAGAGCTACTCCCTCGTTTGGATACTGTTCCCAGTTATGATCACCCCTTTGGGGCTAGAAGCATGTTGTTGGAGCGACAGCTTTAAATATCGGGAGTAGAAACTTTCTGGCCAAAGTGGTGAAGACCTTATTGCTCCTCTTTGCTGAACTCTGGATATTCACAGGTATTCTCAACTCTACCGTCCTTAAATTTCTCACACCTGAGCCTGTCAATCTCCTTGGTTAATTGCTAGGGATTAATTTTCAAGAAGGGCAAAAAGATAAATCCGTAAGAAATGTTGCCCCTTAGTTATATTATGAATATTTGAAATTGCACTATATTGTTTGGACAGTTTCCATTGAACTTCACAAATGCAGGGCCCCATTGCGAGTGCCTCACTGTACACCCCAGCAAAGCTGATATGAGTAATCTAAGTCACTGAGACAAGTCACTAATGATGGAAAGCATGGGAACCACATCTTTACAACTGAGAAAAAACTGTAAAGCTGCTATCATATTTTGGAAAGAAATCTTTACATATATTCATTCTTTATACTTACAATCGAGTTGGCAAAGGGAACCAAAATGCCCAAACTAAACAAGCCCAGAAGTGGTCCACCAATCATGCCAATTATGCTGAGTGCTGCCTGTGAAAATAATATAAAGCCAGCAATTAGAAATCTCAAATCCAGAGGTAAAATGTTTCAAAGTAATGTCATCAGGTAGAGGATTTAAAGTATTTGGGCTCCTTTCAAAAAGCATGGAAGCCTTGTCATTGGCAAAGAGATCAATAGAACTTGGAAGCGTTGGCTTCTTAGTCCCAGGTATCCATATGCTCCGTCAGGTATCCTCAATAAGTGAAGCAAACTGTAAGGGAGGTGGAGACCCATGAGACAATGGGAGCACCCGTATGAATGCATAAGTGAAGAGTGGCACCACTCCCCCCAGACCTTAATAATCAATCACGTCACTCCCTATGCTTTAACAGTCTCCGAATCCTCCTCAAAACAAGACTACAGATAAGTACCACTAAGTGACCACAGATGGCAAAGAAACCCAATGCCATCCTTGGTTCCCTAAGTATGGAACTAGAATGAAAAACATGATTTTAAAAAAGATTGATAATTGATCAAATTATCTAGAAAGAGATTTAAAATCTATTTGAGCCCTGGCCGGTGTAGCTCAGAGTTTTGAGCATAGGCCCGCCCACCAGGAGGTCACCGGTTTGATTCCCAGTCAGAGCACATTTCAGGCTCAGTGCCCAGTAGGGGGCGTGCAGGAGGCAGCTCATTGGTGTTTCTCATTGATGTTTTTATCTCTCTCTCCCTCTCCCTTTCTCTCTCTGAAATCAATAAAAAGATATTTTAAAATAAAACTAAAAAATAAAAAGTGATTATGAGTCAAAGTTTTGAGGGTCAGCTCTTACCTGCAACAGAGCTCCCAGCAGTGATGCCAGAGCAGCCATTCCAATACACAGGGCTCCAAACAGCACACCTAGATGGACAATGTAAAAGTCAGTGTAAAGTCCAGAGCCAGAGGGTTAGAATTCTCAACAGAATAAGCTGCCACACCTTTGATTCCAGTGAGTACATGACTGGTGAAGAAAGGCCGCGTACTTCAGAGCCAGCAAGAAAGGAAAGGGGCGTTTTCCTACGCAATCAGCAGTGTGTGAAGAGGAAATAAAATCCTGACATTGTGTCCAAGGATTAACTACAGCACTAGGTTACATAAGTAGAGAATCCCTAGAATTAACTATAGGGATTTTAAACCTAAGAACTATTGTGTCAGCAATCTAATCCTCCATCAACATTTTTTTTATATAAAGGAAGGGTCAGGTCTGTTTTCAGTTTATTAAAAATACGACACAATTCAACTCTACTCTGTACGACATGGTGGGGGAAGGGAGTAATAAACCTCAGCAATCAGAGTCTTTGCCCTCTCATAATCTCCACCAACAGGCCCAAGCCTTTCCTGCTAAGCTGGCAAAGAAAGGCAACTTCAAGACCAGTATCACACTCTCCCTTCTGCTAAATTTCCCCCCAAAACTTGTTTATAGAAATTCTCAAGCCACTGCTGGTGGTCAGGTTATGGGATTTCCCCCCCCCCCAGATTTTCTCCAAATACATGTTTTACTATTTAAATTATAGGAAGGCTTACCCAGCCCCCAATTTTATTTTTAAAGACATCCATTCAGCAAAAATCGCCTGAAGTCAGTCATTATTTCTCACATATAAAATTCAAAATATAGAAACATGAATGAAACATTGGCTCATCATAAAACTAGTGCATTCCTTATATTATGTTACTCCTATCTTACTTACACTAACCCTCATGCCTTTGTTAAGTATATTAGGTAAATAATCTAATTGCACCTAAATGGAAAACCTTATATTAACTTTTTGCAAAGAGCTCTTACTGCAATGATTTTCTTCATGCCTCTGAATCCTAATATAAATAGTATTAGCTTGATTCTACTCCACTGGATAGCTCAAGACGGTCACCATTGTGGACTTAGGCTTTCGAAGTTATTGAAAACACAGTCAAATCATCTGCCATGTTCTTCTTGGTGAAGCCCTTACTGGAAATACCTTGAGATAATAATTTAATATCAATCTCATTATTAATCAGCAGCAGCACCCTTCTTTGAGCACCAGCTAGTGTCTCTTGTTTTATATGCATTATCTCTAAACCTCATAGTATCCCTGCAAGGTGAATATTTTTTCCTATTTTCCATACAAAGAAACAGAGGCTCAAGTGGGTTATCGGGTTTACTCAAGCCTAATAGCAAGTAAAGTAATGAGGCAGATGGGGTTCATCTGGCTTCAAAAGCTTCTATTCATTCTACTAAACCACTGAGCTTCAATAATCCCATAATGAGCCAGTCTAAATACTCCTCAGGAAGCATTGTATCATTCTGAAATTATGCTTCAGGATTAAACCTGGGTACATAATAAAATGATGCAATACTCTTTAAATTTAGGGGACAATGAAGAATATAAATTAAGTATTGTTCCAGGCTATAGTCATGGCAATTATATGTAGAAGTATGGCTCAAAACAGGGTATTACAATTTCTTTGACAGTCTATTAGCGTTATTGTGCTAAGGTTTAAAGATTCTTTTAACAAAAAATTGCTAGTCGTTCATTCTAAAACATGTGCACCCAAGATGTTGACTTGAAGAGTGAAGTGCACTAGGCGGATTTCTCTGAACCAGATATTACACGTTGAGCCATTTGGGAACTGGAGGCCTTTCAGCCTTTCCATTCAGGCTGATGTTAAACCCCCAGTCAGGTTCTATAACCTAAGAATAGAACTTGAGCATTCCTTGCACAACTTTATGGGCCATCTCTAGGGCACTCTATGGGTGCAGAGGGAAGAGACAATCAAATCGGGTCAAAAGTCTATTTCTTTATCTTCGGTTCATACAATTAAACTGACAGCTCCTTCTTAGGGAACATAGGAAAAGTGTGGCTCTTGGTTCCAAACTAGAATAGTTCTTAAAAATTTGGTCTAAAGTTGAAAAGGAAAAGGGTTGAATGGTGGCTGTTTTTTTCCCCTGTGGCTAAGATTTTAACAGACTTGGGCTGGGAAATCGCTCCTCGTGGTTCCTGACGATGAACTGCTGGGCGTGTCTCCCAAATCTTGATGGCAAATGTCATGGGCGTGAATATGTGTACATATTTACACTCAGAGGTTCCTACTGCGAATCTTCCGTGGAAAAGAGTATCTCTAAAGCATCATCTCGCCGAGCTCAGAAATGGGACTGTGGGGGTGGGAACTTACTCATTCCTTGGGAAATCCAAGAGAGAGACCTCTCTGAGAGCGAGCGGAAGTTGGGTTTGACTAGGTCTTCCACGGTCACCGCTGCCAAGGCGTTGATGCTGGAGGACACTGTGCTGAAAGGGAAGGTGAGCCTTCTGACTTACAATATTTAAACCTCAATAGTACGTTAAGTGGCAATGAGAAAGGGGGGAAGAAATTGATACTTCTGAAATATAACCCAATTTCTGCTATATTATTTTGAATGACCTCCAGTCCTCTGCCTGGAGGCTGTTAACCAAGAACGACTCCGGCAACACTCGCAGGCTTAGTGCTCAAGAAAAGGGTGACTTACTGTTGCCTCCAGGTTGCAATTCATCCTCGGGGTCTATGGAGAGAATCTGCACAGGCTATGCAGTAGTCTTTCATAATGACTTCAAAACACACTTTTCTTTGTGCATAGAAGGACTGTCACAAGTCCCCACTTGCATATGCTGTAAGTATCGATAATATTTATTTCCTGGCTCCTCACTAACACATGCTGTAGTTTGCTAATAAGAAGAATTCCCTGCAGCAAACCCACGCAGAAAGTGCAATGGATATGATCAAACATAGAGTATATTATGTAAATAGGAAATTTTAATTCTAATTTCCCATTAGACCCCACTTCAGCTACATGTATATATTAAACCAAGACTGTAGGCACCCATTTTTGATAATTAGTGAAAGCTACCATCACTGATCACCATTATTGTGGCCCTATCGGGAACAGGAGAGTGTATTAGATGGAAGGGACCAAGCTGAAAGTGGAGACTGATGATAACAGACTGCTAGCCCATAAAGATAAGAGGCAGACTGACAGAGGACACGGGGTAGACTGCCTCCTTTGGGCCATTTGTGCCCATGTCAGAGTTCAGCTTTATCCCCACAAATATCCAATAAAAATGAAAGATCTCAACAGGGGAACCATGTATTTTTAGAGTTGCTGTACATACCTTAATGTCCCACTGTAAGCACAGGCCACAAAAAGTCCAGGAAGTCCGGGATAATCTTGCAGAATGTCCAGCACCAAATAAGGCATGAGCTGAAAAATTCCAAAATTTACTCCTGTGTACCATTTGCTACCAAGTAAAATTAATTAATGCCTCATTTATCTTGTGTTTTTTCAAAAACGAAAGGTAGCTATTCCACAAAACTGAAATTTTCAAATACCTAAAATTAAACTTTTTGACTGCTAGGACTTAAAGAAGAGTGTAGTAGTTAAGGCTACAGGCTTGGGATTCGGACAGATGTGGCTCTTCTTAATTTCTCTGAGCCTCAGTTTCCTCACCTGTGAAATAAGGGTGATAATACTGACCTCACAGAGTTGCTATGAGACCTAAATTAGATAATCTATGTAAAGCTCTTAGTAAAGTATATGGAATATGCTTAATAAAAGGGTCCAGGCTTGTCAGCTGGTTACTTAACTTCTCTGTGCCTCAGTTTCCTCATCTTTAAAAGGGAAATAATCATAGAACCTACCTCAGAGTGTAGCTGGGAGAACTAAAAGTTGAAACTTATACAAAGCACTTATGACAGTACCTGACCCTACCAAAATAAATAAATAATAAATAAATTCTTATTTATTAGCTGTGTGACCTGGGGCAATTTCCCTAACCTCTCTGAGATTCATTCCCTCATCTATAAAATTAGAATTACGAGGCTGTGAGAATGAGATAAAGCATGCAAAGCTCTCGGCACACAGTCTCATCCCATAGTTGGTATTCAGTCAGTGTTCACTCATTAGATCCATTTCTCTGTCACTCGAAAACTGGAAAGTAAGGGGAATATAATGGATACTATTGTGGCAAGTTTGCACGGTGACAGATGAACACTAGAATTAGTGGGATGACGGCGTTGTACGATATAAAAAGGTAAATTGGTGTATCGTACACCTGAAACTAATATAACTAATATTGTATACCAACTATACTTTAAGAAATTAAAAACTGAAAAGTAAACTGTTTACAAATGGGAGATGTAACAATACCATGAAATGTTATATGCTAACATGGTTTGTGGATAGATTGGCCTTTTAAAACTGTGTTTACATTTCTACTCTCAGCCTTGAACTCTCCCTGTTTAACACCTGGCTTGGAATTTTTTCGTGTATTTCAATATTTTAACCTTGGATACAGCATTCTTTTTTCTTGCTATATCCGCTAAAGCAAAATTTTGCCAAATGCTTTATAGAAATTAAAGATGACTCATATGGTGCCTATTCATTGTTTCTCTATAAGAACATGAACACTCTTTCCTCCCAACTAACAAGCTTTCTGAATGTCAAAAATGCACATGGAAGAGAGGCATGGTACTGAACCTGGTCCGGTGCAGACACTTTATTGTTTGTCCAAGGATCGCAGTCGTGGTACCTGGAATACAGGGCGAGCCCACAGAGCACTGCGCAGACGAGGATTACCCAGAGTCCCACGAGATTGATGTAGAGGGACCTAAAGAAGTGGAAACAAGCCAGCAAACGGCAGTTGTGATTTCCATCCCAAAGGAGAGGCAAATTGTTACATAAACAGAAGAAACTTGCATGATTATACTCAATAAATGCATATTATCTTGTTTATCAAAAATGCTACTTATTTCATCCTGGCCTAGCCTTCCTCTTATGATATCAATCAACAGTGTGTTTGGAAATACTTAAGACAGGTGATGTTTTTCCATTGAATGAATGCATTCTCCTGGTCAGAGTTCCACGGGTATTATTAGCTTTATAATGGTATCTAATTATACTACTTCAGGGCTTCTTGTCATGAAGTAAAGGTTTTATTAGTCAACAGAGCAGCAACTATTCTCCTTTTAAAAGTGATACAATTATAAAGTGCTAAATATACTCAGCACCTACATAGCAACTCATCAAGCATGTTTAAATGTGGTTTATAATACCATCCATGGAGTATGAAAGGCAAACCTGCATTCCTTGGACAGTATCTTCCCAACAGTGTTCAGCATCATGTACACAGTGTGTGCCCCAGGAGCGTGCAAGGGCTTATAGAACAGTGCTGGAACCAGACCTGAGCATAAGTCCTGTCCCCACCTACCATACGTGACCCCGGGCAAATGATTTGGCCTGTCCCATCCTCAGTTTGTTCATTTGCACCTGGAGATAACAATGTCTACCTCACAGAGTTATAAGACTAGATGAAATAATATATATTATATGGCAGAGAGCTTGGCAAGTAATGAACACTTGCTAAATGGTAGTTCTTGATATTATTAGGATTGATGCCATTGAAGGCTATGTCTTAATAATCAGTTCAATAGTAAATATTTCTCTCGCTAAGGTGCCTGCATTTTCCCCCAGTGGTGCTGTAGTGGACACTGGGATGAGCTGCCCGAGGGTGGGGAGAGGTATCAGCCCCACAGTCATGGCTCCTTCCCTGGGGCGTCCAGTGACCACTGGATTAGAAGCTTTAGAGCTCCCCTGAGGCCTCTGTTGAGACTGAGTCCAATTTCTCCCCCTGGCCATCCTGCTTTCTTCCCTCCCTTCACCTCCCTAATGGGCTCGGGCATGCTAACCTCCACCTCAGAGTCCACTCGGGGAGAACCGCCCTGCAGCGGGTGCCAAACAACAGCCTTTCCCCTTGATTGACCAAGCTAAGTGTTTTGTTATTGCCTCAAAATAGGATAAGTAACTATATCTCACCTCTGAATCATCAGAAAATATTCCCAGGCACTTTCCTGCTCAGACACCCCCCTTGCTTATATGAGTTTAATACTTTACCATATTGTTTTATTTGACTTTAATGCTATTTAAATAGATCACTTATCAACATCTGATGTTGCCCCGGGTCAATCAAGGTTGTAAGTCTGACTTTGGGGCTGAGATTCATTCTTTCCAGGGAGCCAGTGTTAGAAGGCCGGAGAAAACGGTTCCCCTGAGCTCAGGGGGTCTTGCCTTGTTAAGGAGACCCATTGGGCTATTCTGAAGGAAATCGTTTCTTTTTAAGAAACCTCTAATGCTGTCCTTTTTATTGTAAAAGTGGGCTTTTTGAGCTTCGTGTTCCCAGGGCAACAGAAGAGCATGTGCACAATTATTTTGGGATAGGTATCACTTCTGGTATAGATTTGAACTCTGGTGGATTGCTAGACATATAAATTACATGTTCCTTAAAATACCACACCTCTTAAGCTCACTTTTGGAGGATTGCCTGTCCAGTTACTGTACTCAGATTCATAGAGAGTTTTCACTGTGGAATTTTCCAAAGACACATCATGGCTAAGCCAATTTACTCTCAATATATTGAGTTCTAACATGTGACATCACAATATTTTCATGTTCTCCTTTGAACAGAAATAGACTTGTCACTCCGTCTCCTACTCTGATCACCGTGTTACTCTTAACCAGTCTATGTAGCGTTTTGAAGTCCCCAAATACCTGTGGGCAGAGTCAGCCTTATTGATCAGCATGGGGAGTGGTGGTCACCAAGGCCTCCCGGGAAAGAACCAGCCACTGTTCATACTCTTGGCTCAAGCCAAGATGGGCTGGAGAGTTCTCTGACCATGCTGTCCTTCTGACCTCTGTGCTTTGTCCAAATCACTCTCCCTGCCTGCAATGCTCTCTCACGCTTCTCCACCTGCCCACATGGGATCATTCTTCAGAATGATATATATTATATATATGATATACTATATAGTGCCCGGTTGACAGGGCTCTCTCAGCCAGGATTCACATCCCACGATTTGAGATGGGAAAAGGAATTCCTACTCACTGGACCCCTACCATTAGTGTGTTGAACACAGTATTTTATAATACCTCCCAGGAGATGTATAATATGTCTTACTGCTCATTTTACAAGTTCAGAAACTGAAGTTCTGAGAGACTAACTCTCCCAGGATCACTCAAGTAGCAAGTATTAGAGCAGAGTTACAGGCCCTTGGCTGTGTTTGAAAATAAAATACATCAGCACATCTGGCACTATAATGCTCTGGAACATTTCCTCTATTGTTACAGTGTTTCATGGAACCCCTATCCCTCTCTAGTGTTATTTCACTTTTTATATACTTGGGCATATTTTCCTAACTTGCTGCTAAGTTACTTCATGACAAGAGCCATATATTTATAATTTTCCCTGTAATTCCTTATACAAACAGATGCACAACATATGACAATTTACTTGGTCAGATTTGTTTTACTTAATAATTAATATAAATATTTTTAACTACCTTATTTAAAACATACAGTGCCACTTTGTTCTACTTCATCCTTTCACAAGTAAGTATATAATTTATCTTGGAATTTCATGACACAGAAGACAGACTTGGGCAAACTTAAGCTTGAATTGTGGAAGAGTTTCCATAAAGACAGCTAAGGGTTATTAACAATACATATACCATAGTTTTGCTTACAGTTTTGCCTGGAATCTGCTTTTACAGGAAATATATCTCTGCACTTGGGATTGGTTGACACCATACAGGCTGGTCCACGTGAAGGTCCCTCCTAAAATAATTGTCCAGAATGTGTGTCTTTGCAAAGGATTAGGATTAAAACTAAATGAAAACAAACAGAAAACAAATCTGAACTACTGGGGGAAAAAACTACAGAAATCCACTCCCCGCCCCAGAGTATTTTTGGAAGCAAGCAATGTATCCTACAGAAATATATATATACATACACATGCACAAATTTATTAAGTAATTACAAAAGGTAGAAACATTCCTAATTTAAGTTCAATGAAATAAAATCGATACTTTCAGAGATTTGGGAATTCTGGTTTGATTGGGGGAACATTAATATTCTAATCATTCTGAGCATTTATATAAATTGCTCTCCCGTGGCTGTAGGAAATCATTTAAACAAGCCATGCTGTAATTAGGGAAGAGCATGAAGCTAAAAAAGGAAAGAGATAAGTACTTAAGTACATCACAGCAATAGATAAGGTACTGAAATGAACACAAAGTTGACACATCTTGTGTGTATAATTCCTCTCCTGGCACATGTATAGTCATAGTTCTAATTTATATTCAAACTTAAGAATTCAGTCAATTCAGTTTAAAGGTTCTCACGCTGAAAAACTGCTATGCCATTATAATTGTGCTTTCTTAAAATGCTGTGTGCACAAGCTAAATACTGACAGTTGAAAGTCCCTTTATGACACGTACCAAATATGTTACAAAGAAAGCTCAAAGTCCACGTTCAATACATCTTTTAACCCTTCTTAATGTATTACCTTGGGAGCAATGATTCTGTTCATCTCTGATACGCAATATAGGCTTGAAAAATTTCTGCAAAATTAGCTTTCATGGAAACTTTCTGAACATTATAAAATTCTGCAAATTGATTTCAAATCTTATATTTGAGATCGGTTGAGTAAAAATGTTCCAATTTTTGTGCATATTCTGGCATTCCTATGGAAATATGAGAGCTTCTGTTCCCTGTTCTAGCATCTAATAAAGAGTTTCAATAGTGTTGACCCTTTCTCCCACAGAGAGAGGGGCTCCTTCTGGAAGTCAACAGCCAGAAGGGTTTGGTGAGCTACCTGAGGCAATGCCAGCTTCAGAACACCCAGTTCAGAGGCCTCAGGCCATCCGAGAGACAAACGCCAACTACGCACTGCACAGAAAATATGCACTGCACTGAAACAAAACCCTCTTTCTATCTCAACCAGAGCAGATCTTTTTCCCGCAATATTCTTAAAACATATCTAAATAGCAAGGGATATTCAATGAGGATATTCATTACTATTTAATTGGTTGGCAACCTTCAAAGTAAAGGCCATTAAAAATGTCTAATCTTTTCCTTTTTAGAATCTCTTATTGATGTATAAGTTATTTCAAGGTGGCAATATGTCCTCTTTATAGAGTGACAGCTGTTTTGCAGAAAAATGACTGGTTCCCACCCTCTCCCCCGACCTAGGCCGCTAGGAAGAGCTGTGGGAGTCGCGTAGTCAAGGTCTCCTGAGCGGCCCCGCTTCTTGGTACCCATTCCTCCCCCTTCTGGTAACAGCGGCCCAGGTTTGCTCTGGGGAAACTGTTTCTCCATTAAATAGTCTAAATGGCTGTCAGTGCAAATGTCCTGATGGCATCATGGCCACACTGCGTCAATGGGAGGCTCTCGGCCTTGGAATCTGAATCTTGAGGTAAAAGAGAAAAGAAATACTGAAAATCGAAGTTGATTCTCTATGACACATTCCTGCAGGTTAACACGGTGACCCTGTTCAGTTTATGGAGAAGCTCTTTTCCAGCACCGGCGCCTATTTTCAGAAAGCCAGAAGAGAGCCAAGGGCAAAATAATTATTCCCCTCCTGAAATAATTTCAGCTTGCCTGTCTCAAACAGAGCTGCACCAGGAGAAAATAGGCCCCTCCGTGCAAAACGAACCGCTCCCCACACAGAACGTGAAGGGCAAGAATCACACCAGTGGCCCAAAAGGAAAAGGGTTTTAAATATTCTTTTAAATTGTACGATACAGTTGTGGTGACATACCTAGTTTCCTTTCTTTAGGAAAACTGCACAGCTGTTGAACATATGTTGTATCATGTGCTGTACTGACACGTGAGGCATCAGCCATACTTTTCTAGTCAATTCTCTTAAAATACATTATAGTATATAATGCAATTATATATTGACACATACATATTATATATATGGCATAATAATAGATATTATAATAATAATGTATGCATAATGATAATATGCTATATAGTGCCAGGACAACATAAATATGAGAAAAATTCTCCAGACTGCTTGAAACAAAGAACCATCAAAATGAAACCACTGTCTTTTAGTGTTTTGCTCTTAAGAGGTTTCCTTTTCTTGTCTGTCCACTATCCCTTCCCTTATCACCCTACCCTAGCCTCTGACTCAGTCCGGATTTTACTATCTGGAAGGAAATCCCCTCCTGAGTCCCTTCTCAGAAGGAAGCACCATCCTCAGTACTGGGTAACTAAGTACCATCTGACTGATTTAACCCCTTAGAGAGCTGGTGAAAACTCTTTATACATTTACTGCCAGCTTCAGACTTCTGTAGTGGTTTGTTTGTTTTCTAATGTAAACTTACTGTTTCAATAAAGGGATTATTTTTATAGAAAAACAAAAACAAAAAGAATATTCTATTAGTCAAGAGGTAAATGGCAACTTACTTCCAGAAGTTTAATCTTCCACCATTACGGGCATCATTGATAATAGAGCCCATTCCACCTTGAACCAATGAGGCTTGTATAATCACAGAAATAAATCCAGCCAGCATGATCCCGACTTGAAAAACATCCGTCCAGACAACCGCCTTAAGACCACCCTTTGAGGGGAAAGTGTGTTAGGATTAATGGTTCCATCAAACATTATTAAGCATCTATATGCTTATACATCATGCTGTACAAACTTATTGAATACATGGATCTTGGCCAAGAAGTGCACCCAAGGGAGACAGGTGGGAAGAGCCTTCAAGAGAAGGTGATGCTTAAGCCAAACCTTCAAACATATGAGAGGCAAAGATGAAGGGCCCTCCCAGCAGAGAAAAAAGCATGGGAAAAAGCATAGATAGCTCAAAGTATATGGCATGTAGAGTGTAGAAAGATACGTATATATTTTGGAGTAAAGTGGAGTGGTACGGAGAGATTGTTGGGAAGAAAATTCAGTGAAATTGCAAACACCGATGTCATAGATTTTATCCTATAGGCAGGGCTGACATTCAGACACTATGCACACAGGTCATATCAATTGTTGAAATATTAAAATTGCTTTGTACTAGCCACTGCCACAAACTTCCTGAGTATCCCCTTCAGTCCGTTTGACCTTGGCTGACACAGCCCTTCCTTTTAGGATGACCTGTCTCCTAAAAGATCCAGCAATTAAAGGGTTAAAACCTAGCCTATCAGAGATCCGCCAAGACTTGCACCATTGTGTATGGCCTGCATCCATGGGAGCAGGGTGCCCGTGCCATACTGGTTCTTAAATATTTTGATTGTCACTAAAGGCAATGGAAAGTTATCTCAGGTTTCGGAGCTAAGGAGGAATATAAACACAAGATTAATAACTTAGCAAGAGCGAGGGTGAATTAGGAGACAAGATTAGGGACCACTGTATGGCTCAAATGAAAGAAAACATTTTCAGTTATGACCATTGTTCTGCAAAGGATCAAGTTTTATCCCAGACTGAATATACCTTATCAAAAATAGCTACATGTGGGATGTAGGAGAGTAGGTGTGAAAAACCCTGATGGTAGCACACAACTGCTGGAACTTTCAATTTTGCAAAGCAAGTGTGTAGAGTAAAAGGAGAATTCATTTTCTTGACATACCAGCGTGCAGTAGAAAGTGCAGACCACCCCTGTAGCCACCACTGCGCCCCACAGATCAAATCCTGTGACTGTGGAAGAAAAGAAAATGCATGTATAACTGTGAAACACGGATAACAAAAGTACTTCTCAAAAAAAAATCAGGGGGAAGCTATATTGTTTATTGGGTATCTACCTCTTAACCCACTTGCTTAAAACTAGGTCCAAATCTTATAAGATATACTTAAACAATTGGAGTTTCTAATTCTATTTGATGAATTACATGGACCTGGTTTCTACCCTCAGACACCATATATAGATCCAAAATTGGCTAAAATAATTACATTAAAACACATTAACACTGTAATTAAGCTAAGAAACTGCTTAATACTATGAACTAGCTATCTGGACTGAATAGAGGCCAAGGTGTTTGTCACCACGGTTCAAATAAACATGCTATCCTACTAATCCTTGAAAGACAAGTTGTGCATGTTACTAAAATGGGACTAAGGTAGAGAAAAGTCTATATAATTTGCTACCATTTATCTAAGTAGTAGAGGGGCATATTATATTTTATAAATAGAAGGATGACTTTACAGCCACAAATTTGATAATGAACCAATTCCTTGAAAGACACAATCTGCCACAATTCACACAAGAAGAAATAGTTGATTTGAATAGATCTATATTAAATCCATTGAATTAATAATCATCCAAAACAGAAAGCTTCAGCCTAGATGGGTTCACTGGTGAATCCTAGCAAACATTCAAGGAAAAAATATACCAACAGAAGCAGAAGTAGTACCTCCTAACTCATTCCATGAAGCCAGCATCACCCTAATACCAAAACCAAAGACATTACAAGAAAAGAAAACTTGTCCGGCCAGTATGGCTCAGGGGTTGAGCATTGACCTGTGATCCAGGAGATTGAGGTTTGATTCCTAGTCAGGGCACATGCCCGGGTTTTGGACTCGACTTCCAGCAGGGGGTGTGCAGGAGGCAGCTGATTAATGACTCATCATTGATATTTCTATCTCTCTTTCTCTCCCTCTCCCTCTCCCTTACTCTCTCTGAAATCAATAAAGACTTTTTTTAAAAAAATTAAAAAAAAAACAAAACTAGAGGCCAATATCTCTCATAAACACAGATGCGAAAGTGCTCAACAAAATATTAGCAAATCGAATCATAAAAGTGTTAAAAGAATTATACACCATGACCAAGTGGGATTTATCCCACATATGCAAGGCTGGTTCAACATCTGAAAATCAATTAATGAAATCTATTACATCAATAGGCTAAAAAAAGAAATATTACATTATCATATTAATAGATGCTGAAAAAGCATTTGGCAGAATCAAACACACATTCATGATAAAAACGCTCAGTATACTAGGAACAGAGGGGAAATTTCTCAACTTAATAAAGACTACCTACAAAAAACCTACAGCTAAAGTCATACTTAATGGTGAGAAAATGGAAGTTTTCCCACTAAAATTGGGTACAAGGCAAAGATGTTCCCTCTCACCGCTCCTTTCAACATCATATTGGAAGTCCTTGCTAATAGGGCAAGAAAAAATAAATAAAAGGTATAAAACTATCTTTGTTCACAGATAACAGGATTATCTATGAGAAAATCTGAAAGAATCAGCAAAACATCTCCTGAAACTTATAAGGAATTATAGCAAGGTTTCAGGACACAGGTTAATATACAGAAGCCAAATGCTTTCCTATGTACCAACAATCAATGCATGGAATTTTAAATTAAAAACACATTGCCATTTACATTAGCATCTCAAAAATAAAATACTTAGCTACAAATTTAACAAAATATATCTAAGATCTGTACAAGGATTACTGCAAAACTCTGACGAACAGAATTAAAGAACTAGATAAATCGAATTCCATGTTTTATGGACAGAAAGACTGAATATTGTTAAGGTGTCAGTTCTTTCCAATTTCATCTATAAATTCAATGCAATCCCAATCAAAATACAAGCAAGTCAGTTGGTATATAACTACAAACTGTGTAGAGTCAACAAACGGATTCTACAGTTTCCATGGAGAGGCAAAAGACTCTCAACAGCCAACACAACATTGAAGGAGAAGACCAAAGCTGGAGGACTGACTCCACCTGAAGACCTACTATAAAGCTACAGTCACCGAGACAGTGTGGTCCTGGCAAAAGAACAGACAAGTAGATCAATGGAAAAGAACAGAGAGCCCAGAAATAAACCCCATAAATATAGTCAATTGATCTTTGGCAGAGGAGCAAAGGCCATTCAATGGGGTAAAAATAGTTTTATCAACAAATGGTGCTGGGTCAGCTGGACATCACAGGTAAATTAACATGAATCTAGATACAGACCTTACACCCTTCACCAAGATTAAATCGAGATGGCTCTCAGAGACCTAAATGTAGAATGCAAAACTATTAAACTCCTGGAATACATCAGAGGAGTAAAACAAGATACCTAGGATATGGTGATGCCTTTATAAATCCTACACCAAAGGCATGATCCATGAAAGAAATAATTGATCAGCCAGACTTTATTAAAATTAAAAATATCTACTCTATAAAGACAGTATCAAGAGAATTAGAAGACAGGCCACAAACTTGGAGAAAATTTTGTAAAAAAAAATATATATATATATAGCCCGGCTGGGCGTGGCTCAGCGGTTGAGCGTCGACCTAGTATCCAGGCGATCGGGGTTCGATTCCCGGTCAGGGCACATGCCCAGAATGCGGGCTCAATCAATGACTCTCTCATCATTGATGTTTCTATCTCTCTTTCTCCCTCTCCTGTCCTCNTATATATATATATAGCCCGGCCGGGCGTGGCTCAGCGGTTGAGCGTCGACCTAGTATCCAGGCGATCGGGGTTCGATTCCCGGTCAGGGCACATGCCCAGAATGCGGGCTCAATCAATGACTCTCTCATCATTGATGTTTCTATCTCTCTTTCTCCCTCTCCTGTCCTCTCTCTGAAATCAATAAAGATATATTTAAAGATATATATATATGTGTATGATAAAAGACTGTTATCAAAACTATACCAAAAAACTCTTAAAGCTCAACACTAAGAAAACAGCCTGATTCAAAAATAGGCCAAAGATTTTCACAAACACCTCACCAAAGAAGATATATAGATGGAAAATAAACAAATGAAAAAAATCCTCCACATCATACGTGATCAGGGAAATGCAAATGAAAACAAAGAGATACCAGCACACACCTAACAGAATGGCCAGACCTGGAACACCGGCACCGAGTGCTGACGAGGAAGTGGAACCGCAGAATCCTTTCATATATTGCTGGAGGGACCGTAAGGTGGGAATAGCCGTTTTGAAAGATAGTTCGGCAGTTTCTTACAAAACCATCCTCTCGCTATATAATCCAGCAATCGTGCTCCTTGGCATCCACCCAAAAGAGTTGAAAACTATGTCCACACAAAAACCAGCCCATGTGTGTTTATAGCAGCTTTGCTCATAACTGCCACACCTTGAAAACAGCCACGACATCCTTAAGGAGGTGAATGGATAAGTTGTGGTACATCCAGACAATGGATATCATTCAACACTAAAAAGAAATAAGCTATTAAGCTGCAAAACAACATGCAGGAGCCTTAAATGCATATGACTAAGTAACACAAGCCAATCTGAAAAGGCTACATGTGGCATGATTCCAACTACATGCTTTCTGAAAGAGGCAGAACTGTAGAGAAAACAGTGGTTGCCAGAGGAGGGGGGAATGAATACAGCCAGAGCTCAGAGGACTTTTAGGGCAGGGAAACTACTCTGTGATGCTATAATGATGAATATATGTCATGACACATTTGTCCAGACCCACAGAAGGTACAATACCAAGAGTGAACCCTAAGGTAAATATGGACTTTGAGTGGTTATGACATGTCAATGTAGATTCATTCTAGATAACAAATGTGCCACTCTGGTGAGTGATTTTGATAACGGGGGGAAGCTATGCATGTGTGGGGGCAGAGGCTATATTGAAAATCTTTGTACTTTCCTCTCAATTTTGTTGAAACCTAAAACTGCTCTAAAAAATTACCTTTAAAAAAAAGTGTAAGTATGTTTTTTTAAAAGGAAAAATAAATTTAAAAAACAACGGAAAAAGAGTTACCTATAAGGGAGGGAGAACAGGGTAGAAGAGACAGTGATATAAATTAGGCTTCTCTAAATAGATCTCATTTTGTAGACTGGTCTTTGGAACCATGTAAATGTTCTATATAATTATAAAAATTAAAATTAAAAACTCCTAAAAATCAAAAGCAAAATGAAATAAATAAACCTAGGTGTATGTCAAGTATGTGACATGACCACACAGAAATTAAATATGTCAAAAGACTTTAATGCACAATAATTTCATATCCATCCCTACTGGGATACACCCTAAGGGGGAAAAAACTTCAAGGGAATAAATTTTAACTGTTTTTGGCCATCATATTATTAGTAAAAGTATTGGAATTGCTAATCTAAAACTATTACATTAGTGGTTCTCAAATTTCTACATTAAAATCACCAGAGAAGATTTTAAAAATCCCAATGACTCTGCCACTCAACAGGCCAATTAATTCAGAATCACAAGGAGTGAAGGCTAAGCATTAGTATTTTTTTAAATTTCCCAGGTGAATCCAATGTGCAAGCAAGGTTGAGAAAACAATACATATATATATATATTTGCATAAAGAAAATAACCTCATTAATATCGTTTAAAAAAAAACAAGAGTTTCAGCATAAAGTAAGAAACAAAATATTAAAACAAATTAGGCAAACACACAAATTTGAATTTGAAAAACTGGCAATTATTAGTATGAACTCTTAATTTATTTTTTCTTTGATATATATCCCCCAGTTCTGTCCACTGAAAAGACCTAGAATAAATGAACAACTCAGTAGCAATAAATACCTCTAATATTTAGATTGTGATCTCTACATACAATTTCCCCTTGAAAAAAATAGCTGAGACCAGGACCGGGCCAGGAAATTTACAAGGTAAGACTGAAACATCTTGCCATTCCAGAAAGCAAGGTAGCTATTAAATGCTACTGGAATCATGTTAAAAGAATTCAAGAGACAACTTAAAGAGGCTCCTGCTAGACAAAAATGAGATATTAATGTTAATGTTTTAAATATGATGATGGTATAGCAATATTTTAAAAACATATCCTGGTACAAACTTCTAGTTATAAAATACGTTAAGTCATGGGAATGTAATGCACAGCATGGTGACTATAGTTAATAACACTGTATTGCGTATTTGAAAGTTGCTAAGAGAACAGATCTTAAAAGCTCTTATCACAAGAGGAAAAAAAATGTGTAACCATATGTGATGATGGGTGTTAACTAGACTTATTGTGGTGATCATTTTGCAAAATACACAAATATCAAAGCATTATGTTGTATACCTGAAACTAACATCATGTTCCATGTCAATTAACCTCAATGGGGGGAAAAAAGCATGTACTTGTTTTTAAAAGACATTGACTTAATTAAAAATATAAAATATCTCAGATTCACGGCAAAATGATCTAGTGAGGGAAACAGAGAGTTAATTAAACCAAGAGCTGATAATTATTAGTGTAGAGGTAAGGGTACATTAAGGTTTAATATACTGTCCTCTCTATTTTAGTAGATGTTTGGAGCTTTCCACGAAAAGGGAAGAGATGGGACATAGAGAATGTTAAGTGCCAATTCAGTTAAACAAGTTTCTACTGAGCACCTGTTACGCCATAAGTAGCATGTCTACTGTCTTGGCCACTGTGAAACACACAACTGATATTCAGGTGGCCAAACGCTCCCTCAGGTTCTCATTTATCCCAAGGGAGTTGCTCAATAAACGGATAAGAACAGAGTCCTTGGTTTCTTTACATGTTGAAGGCACTGCTCTCTTTTTCCTAGAACTGCACTTTAAAACCCTAAAGCCAACGTCTTCATAACACTTAAGCCAATACATAACCTATGAAGTTTAATAGCTCAGACGTGAAATGATTCATTTACGATGTTGGCACTATCGCCACGGAACATGCCTAACAATCGAAAGTCAGGAGCACATGATGTAATGGAATTCCTCTTTGTAATGATACTGTTGTACTTCATAAACTTGGGTGATAACTCAGTGATAACCGATTTCTACCTGTCATGAAATTTAAAAAATTATGAGTGTGGAGTTCGCAAGGTTACTTTTCATTTTATATTGACTCCAGGGATTGCGCCACATTTTCCCATCACTGAGTCCATTTGTCCATTTTACAAGGAAGTTTCAGAGACAAACTCCCTTCTGATTGATAAGAATCCAAAGAATGTGGAGTTTCCCTGAAGCCTTCTGAGAATATGACGAAAATGAACATAGGCCTCAATGAACTATCTGTTTCACTGCTATTATCTGCCCAAATCTAGAGGGTATAATAAGCTGTTGATCATCACAACCTTCATATATTTGTTTATAAGGACTCTATAGCCATCTGTCCTTTGGTCACTAGGAGCAGTCTGATATTTCATATCACACAGATCTATATATTTTGCATTTTGGACCACATTGGAAGTGAGAAGAAAAGCTTCTCTCCTTGCCACATTTTACAAAGTAACTGAGCCAAAGAACACAGGAAAACAGCCTCTTGGAGATGGGCTGGAGGTTGTAGCCACAGGGAGGATGTGCAGTCGTTCACGATTTAGACTATAGGGGACACTCATTCTGAAGGGATCGGGGACAGCTGTTTGGCGTGTCCCAGGGACTCACTTGCTCAGTGAAGTCTGTCCTACTAATGCACAGACCTTTTGAAGCTATGGATCCAGGAACCCAAAGAAACTGCTAGTGTAGACACTGAACTCACCTTCCCCACCTCAAGCTGATACAGGTTACTGGAAGCATTCCTCCATCCCCCCAGAGAATCAGGTCTATTAAAAAAGAAGCCCCAAATTGACATAATTGGTCACTCTAAAATGTACCTTGATTCAAAGCCAGGGCAGGGGCATAAATAACAATTCCAGTATACAGCACCTAGGGGGGAAAAAGCAGACCAGATAAATTAAATGAATTACAAAATGAAATACCACTATTTTTCTACAAATTCAATCATGAATTAAAACAGCACTTTCAACATACTTAATAAAATGTGTTTATAACTTAAAAAATGTTATTTAAGTAAGGTTGACTCTCCTTTTCCATCTGTGGTACGGTCAGAGGGACTCTTGCCCTGGCTGGGGTGGCTCAGTTGGCTGAGTACCGTCCCATGCACTGAAAGGTTGCCGGTTCAATTCCCGGTCAGGGCCCAGGCCCAGGTTTCAGCCTGATCCCAGGTGTGGGAGGCAACTGATAGATGTTTCTCTCGCATATCAATCTCTCCCCCACCTCTCTCTCTCACTCTCTCAAAATCAATAAAAACATTTTTAAAAAACAGGGACTCTTCATGTGTAGAGATAGTCACTGATCCATCAACTCAAGCTAGAAACCAATTTTCCTAGATCTAAAACAATTCAAAAGAAATAATACAAATTTAAAAGTGGATGGTCCCTCAGTNAAACAATTCAAAGGAAATAATACAAATTTAAAAGCGGATGGTCCCTCAGTCATCTGCCTTCAAACTATTGTTAATCACTGCATAATTAATTAGGAAAACTGAAAATTTTAGAAACTGGTTTGCAAAAGTTTGCATGCCCATTAATTAAANAGAAATAATACAAATTTAAAAGTGGATGGTCCCTCAGTAATCTGCCTTCAAACTATTGTTAATCACTGCATAATTAATTAGGAAAACAGTGAAAATTTTAGAAACTGGTTTGCAAAAGTTTGCATGCCCATTAATTAAACAAAAGTGTAAATTTGCCCTAAAAACTCCTGAAAGCCAACCATAACTGCATTCCACCCTTTTTATATTATTTATTTTCTTCATTCATACATTTCATAAATATTTTTTCCATTGCTTTTCAGAGAGAGTGGAAGGGAAGGAAGGAGAGAGAGAGAAACATCGATGTGAGAGAGAGACATTGACTGGCTGCCTCCAGCATGTGCCCCCACCAGGGGCGAGGAGGGAACCCGAAACCGAGGTACGTGCCCTTGACCATGATCCTTTGGTGCGAGGGCCAATGCTCTAACCACTGAGCAACACCGGCCAGGCCTGCAACTCACCTTTCAAATATAGCACATAGAAGTTAATTCTATGATTACTCTATATAAACATATTATGAAAAGAACACAGTATTAGAAGTGAGTCCTTCGAATGGGAAATGCTAAAGCTCCCCTCTTTTAGAAAGAATGAACTAGCTTTCCAGTCATTATCCTGTCCAAGTTGAAGATCTGAAAATGTGACCACAGCCCACTTTTTAACACTAGCCCCCACTTTTCATTTCTGTTGGTATTTCCAACAATGATCCAAAGAGGGTCTGAATTGTTAGCAAACCCAAGCTACCAGCCTCAGCTCTGTGTCAGAATGTCTACCAGACCCCAAAGGGCTCCTTCCTTCTACACTGCAAGTGTTAAGGACTGATACAATTTAAATTATATAATTCAGAAAGATATGAGAAGGTGTCTAGTCAAATAATTTACAAAGGCACTCTGCCGGGCTGAGGCAAATGCTTAGGTAGCTGTTGATTGGAGAAACGGCGTTGTAAGTAAAGATGAGAATAAAAACTTCTTCCTAGGTTTCCATTATCAAGCCCATCCCTAAAGCACCTAGCTGCCAAGAGAAGATATACATAAATCCCGTGACAATGACTGCGACAGGCCTCCGGCGGCCTGGATGAAGGGCGGGAAGCATTGTCTGGCCCTTCATCTAGGCTGCTGGCAAAGCTTCGCTTCCTATTATGTCAATCAGTGAATCTGTACCTGCACATTCCTGAATGACTGGGTTGTGTGCTTGCCTTTAAAAACACCTCCAGAGTATATGGTTCTATTGTTTTACCCTCAGTGATTGCTTCAGTTGGGTCTCAGGTTCCATTTTTAAAGGAAAGAACAGATTCATTTTTTAAGTATGCTTTCAAAAAAAATTATTTCCTAATGTCTTCCTACGTCAATTAATTTTTTCAAACCTATTTTTTTAACATGTTGCAAAAATACTATGACACATACAAGGTGTTTCCCCTTTGTTACAATTCCTGTTCTCAGCTACTACAGCTCTTTCAGAACTCTATGTCATCTGAGCCGTGCCCTTACTGTCACTTTGGTTGGGAGGAAAAGCATATTCTTCTAAAACACAAAACCGTGCTTGATCAATATGATATTTAACATTCACTGAAATCATTCTGTTTTCCCAGGAGGAAATGCATTTGTTAAAACACTGTCTGGTGATCTTGAGGGTTGATGCTGTGTAGCAATGAGCGTTTTGCCTTTTTTGTTTCCTCCTGTTTTCGGCATCTCTTTTTTATCTCTCATGTGTTCACCAAAAAAGCTTGGCCCAGATGCCTTGATTAGAAACATTTTAGATGACAAAAGGTAAAACAGACTAACGGAGAGCTACTCACCGTCTGAATAATGTAGACGATTGTTCCACAAAGACGAACATATTTGTTAAATCGAAGTTCTAAATACTGTTTCCAAGAAAAGGAAAAATGGTTAATATGTAAAACCTCTGGATACTTTTTTTTAAACAGCAGCTTAAGAAGTAAAGGAGTTAGAAATTTAAACTTCGTAATTAATTTGTATTCTCTTTTTCTATTTGACTATTATTTTTACTTACACACAGCAAAGTTGACTCTTACTTAGAGTACAGTTCAGTGAGTTTTAACACCTACGGAACAGATCCCTCACCCCTCGTGTTGCTCTTTTGTAGTCAAACCCTGCCCCCAGAAGGTCATGTAAATGGAATTATTTTCTGCATTACTAGAACGAGCAAAGTGTTGCTCTTGGTATCTACGCCATACGTTCCCCTGGATTCACTTAGGGGATAGACCCTTCCCCACTGCAGGCAGTTGCGATGGAATTGTCCATCAAGGTGCCACGCCTCTTCCCACCAAAAAGTGGTGACATGACCTCCGCTCAGCCAATCAGCTTCTCTTCTCTGGGTATTTGCATCTTGGGGGCAAGATATAAAGACAGAAAATGACTGGAGCAGAAGCAGACTGCTTCTGAGTGGGTGGTCTAAGAGGCCGCCCTGGCTTCTGTCTTTAGTCTGTTCAGCTTTTCCTTCTGTTATATGAGCTACTCTCATAGTCTTCCAATAATTTTTTTTAACTTAAATCAGCTCAAGTCAATTCCTGTTCAGAGCCTACAGCCTTGCCATGCTTCCAACTCTCCTCGACATCTGTTATATCTCATAATATAGTCTGCTCATCTCCTACATTATAGGGCAGAATGTGTGGCGGAGTTAGAATCCTAGAATCTCACAGCTGGAATGAAGCTGGTGTCCAAGACATTCTCTAACTTTATTATTATTATTACATGTAAAGAGAATTTTAAGATGGACAATAGTCTTTTCATATAGCAGGGGAAAAAAGAGGAAATAAAAAATTGACATTAGGTAATGAACGGGGGGTGGGTGGGGTATTTTTGCTCCATAATCACAGCTAACATTTATAAATGAGCAGGTACCAAGTATACGCACATGAGGACACAGGCTCAGAGAGAACCACAATGTTGCAACCTAATAATTGTCAGAGCCAGGACGCAAATCTAGGACCATCTGATGCCAAGATCTGTTCATGTAACCACTATATTATTTGAAATAAACAAGTAAACAAACTGACCATTGTCTAAAACTCCTACAGAGTGAGTGGGTGGCACTGGCACATAGTAGGACCTCCAAAAACAACTAATGGGTAAAATCTATGTGTACAGTGTAGCACATTAGAGGAAGAGTTCCAGCCTTTGTCCCAGCTTTACTCCTGACACCCCAAGCTTGGGGCAGTCACTCAAAATCTCATGTTCCCTCCTCTTGAAAATGAGCTCTTAGAAATAATTCTTTCCCCTCATGCTTCTCAGGGTTTTGGAGACTACCATATGATGTAAGGGGGTGGGGAAATATTGTAAACTGTTCATTCAGAAGTAAGACATGAAGAAGCTGGTATTCAAATCCATAGGCCCTGAGAATTTGAATCTCAATGAATTACATGTCAAAATCATCCAAGGATAATTTAGAGGACTTTTTAGAATACTCAAGAAGCAAGCGTGGAAGGGCAGTGTTAGCTCTTCAGAATTGTTTTAGTAAAACTATTAAAAATGAATGTACATGAGTAGACAGAGAAGTCTTTGCCTTTTCTAGGTGCATGAATCTAAATTGCTGGAAACTAAAGAAAACTGAAGAGAAAAATGTGATGAAGGTAAGAATGTATGTAGTGAAACTGAACCAAATAACTTAGTTCAACCAAGTTATTTTTTCCCCCAAGATCAGTTGGATCCAGACAGACCTATAGATCTAAACTCACACAAGACTGACTCAAGACAGAACCAAGAAGTCTATCATTATCTCAGCCATCAGTGGTTACTGGGCTGCTAGAGAAATACCTGAAGACCTTCCAGAAACTCAAGTCACTGAGCACTAGGTTCAGGGAATAGCTCTAGGATTCCCAGACAAAACTAGTGACAAATAGTAGGTGCCCATAGTCACCCACGATCTGTGGCAGTCCTCAGAACTCTGAACGATTTAGGAACACTAAAGCTTCTACTGAATAATATTTTTAAAGTCTGGACAATTCAGTTCAAACACACAGATTCCGCTGGCTCCAGAAAGGACCGGAGAAGTGATGAATGAAATTGCATTCCTGCCTTTTACTTGTTATCTGTGAGTCTGGACCTTGCTAAACTCCTATCGGGACTACACTTTGAAGGCAGCGATAAATAGATGACAAAAATTCTTCTGGATGGCCGGTTTTCACTCAGAGACTGTAAATAGGGAGAGACTTCATACCTGAGCGAGAATGCCAGTGTCATCCAATGCTGGACTTATTCTGCATGGGTGGCCCCATCTCTCACCATAAAACAAAATACTCCTCCGGGAAACTCAGCAGAGCCTTCAGAAGCGGCCAATACGCCCCACCGCTCAGCCTCTAGGCAAGTGCCCGCTTTGCTTCACGCTCTCTTATGCAGCTTAATTTATTCTGAGCCTCTTTGTCTGCAAAGTGGGGCTCTCCTAGGGCCTCCCTAATAAAGGACTGGTTCTGAGAACTGAGTTTGAGAACATATGTAAAACATGCAGCCAGGGCCCAATAAACACTGGCGCGCTGTTTTGCCGGTTTGGGCTGGCACCCTGCTAACGGCCTCCACTCGGGCAGCACGTGGGAAGCCGGGCTCTGGCCGAGTTAACGCTGCGCCCTGCTTCGCACGGGTCAGTGGCCCTGAGAGCTGCGTTCCCCGTGAGAACCGAAGTCCTCTTGCCAGATTCCTCAGACTCCTTCTGAGAGCTGGGGCTGGTTAGCCACAGGTCAGAGCTCACAGGCTCCAATGCCTGCAGGGCCCATGAGGGGCAGGGTGAGTGGCACTGGCCAGGCCTTCCTATAGCCATGTGTTAGAACGTTCCTCACGGCCACTAAGCCGTATGTCCTCCCACAGCTCCCCCGAAACAATAGCTCCCTTCACCCCTGTCCATTTTCCCTTTCGCATTTTTGATAAAGACATAGACGCAGATAAAGGTTTCTCTAGCTCACGGAAGTTGCCGTGCAGATGCGATGAGGGGACCTCCATAGAGAAACAGGGAGTCACAGCAACGGCTGTAAACTGGAGTTCCTGGGGCCACAGGGGATGTGGGCTCAGTGTCACGAGTCTTTTTGGGTTTTCAAAAGAAGCCAGAATCTGGAATTTTATTTGACTTCCACCATCGTTAAATGCTAAATTAATTTTTTTTTTCCAAAACGCCATAAAGTTAAAAAAGAAAAGGAAAAAGAAAAGACCATGACTGAAGACTGCGTTTGGCCTGGGGCAGCCAGTTTGCTACCTTTGAGCAAAACAGAAATTGCACCCTGCTCACTTCTAGGGTGATGAATGAATGCTCCCAAACACAACGACCGGAGGAAAGCAACGCTGTCCCAGGTGTGCCCTGCCCTGGATGACATCACTGGAACCCACCCAGTTTGTCACCAACACAAATTGAGCCATAAGGGCCCTATCCGGAGCACCAGCTGAACCAGCCTTACTGGGAAACCACCTGCCAGTGACTCTGGATTGGAGCAAAGACTCTGCAAGTTCAAGGACAGAGGCAGCTGCCGAGAATGAGCCTCAGCCCTCCGGATAATGGCCTATTAGAGAGGAAACATCTGCAGGTTTGTGTATGTGGCTCCTGGGCTAGAGACCCCCGAGGGCACGGAACTGGACCCCACTGGTTCCCTGAGCAGTTCTTTAAACTAAACCAAACATTCGCCACCTTTGCAAAGCCTTTTCCTGCGGACGACTCGAGAAAACCTACAACCAGGGGACCTGTGCACTAGGAGAGGTGGTTTTCCTTAAGCGCCGTTCCCTCGAGAGAGAAGGTACAGCTGTCTGAGAGCCTCACAAGCCAGGTTTTCCCAGCGATCCCAAGATAACCACCTCTGCCGCCACCACCGCCACCGCCAGCACCACCAGCACCAGCACCAGCACCACGCGGATCCTTACCGCCAGCATTTACTCAGTGCTTCCCCGGGACCAGACGCTATTTTAAATGCTACAGTTGCATCATCTCACTTAATCCCCCCAACGTCTGGGCGAGGTGGGCGGCATTATTATTTTCATTTTGAGATGAAGAAATGGGCGCGGAAAGGTTAAGCAAGTCACCCAAAGCCACGCAGCTGGTGAGAGGTGGAATCTGGTCACCAACCCAGGTCCTGGGACAGGAGAGACAGCGCCTTCCCCGCCGGAGCGCC